TGGCTGACTGGGCGGGTAAGGGTGAGCTGTCGAGTCGGGTCGGGTTGTCTTTTTTTAATGTTTAAATGTGCTGACTGTGTCTTTCTGTTAGCCACGTCATCACTTAACGGTCGTCATTAATGGAGGTTAACGGAGGTTAACGGATAGTGACCGTACTTGGACTGTTCAACTATTTCGAGTGACTATAAATGGAATAAATCAATTCGGGTGGCAAACATGAAATTTTTAAGCAATTCGAGTGACCAAACTTGCAATTAAGCCATTCTTTGGCTTTATTGTTCCAGAAAACTTGTGTACCCCTACAGTTCAGGAAACCTTCCACTTTGTCCCTGACTTTCATAGACATTTCCATATCCATGAACAGGTAAGCAAGCTGTGAGTTCCCATATAGAAGCTTCCTTAACCCTATATAAGTAGATCCAGGCCACCCACTATGAACCACTATGAGTGAGCAGATTCCAAATATGACGAGTTGTACAAGCTATATTCCATGTCCTAAGACACTTGATACCCAATCCACCCTCCTTTTTTGGTAAAGTCAGCTGGTCTCAAGCAATTACTGCTCTCTTCCTACTTGAATTCTCAGTCACCCCCCAGAGGAAGTGATTGCATTTTAACTTAAATCTCTTTTATTACTGACAAAGGTAAAAGGAACACGTTCATCTAGAATTGAGATAGGCTGCTCAATACATATTGAATGAGGCCTTTTTGGGCTGGAAATTATAGCATCACAAGTCACAACTCTCAGCTTGAAGATGAGATGTAGCTAGCTATTGATAAGTTGGCAGGTACCTGTACAATTTGATATGCCTGCCTGCCTGTGTTTACCAGCAAAACGGTGGCGTTTACGTACATGAATCAGCGGTAATTATTAGGACAAAGAAGACGAGACGAGACAAGACGAGACCAGTCCAGTCAACAATTCTTTCAATTTGACCTAATAATAATCACCGAGAACATTTCTGTTTATGCATATTATTGATTACCTACTTTCAATTTGAGTTCTCTCAACCAAACAAGAAAATGCCAAAGCCCAAAGGAATGATAACTATAAAGTAGTGATTAGTACTAGCGTGGCCCCGGCCAGTTGACCGGAGGAAGTTGAGATATGAAATTTGATAATGTAATGGAGTGTATAGCTTATTGTTGTATAGTTTTTTTTTTGGAAACACGTGATAAAAATGATGAATTTTAGCAGGAAAGAGACATGAATGATGCAACGAATCAAAAACCGGCCTTATGAATCAAAATCAAGTACATGTTACCTTGTGAAACAATATTGTTTCTGGTAATATGATGAGGTGGAGTAAGTTTTATAGAAACCGAATTCCAGAAAATCGAATAAAAATCGTCTATCTCGTCAGTTTTCGGGAAATGAGCATCTCACAATCGTTGCTAGCTTTTACTCGGCCCGTTGGCCGATTAATTTGCTTTATAAAACTTTCATCTTGTCGTCATTGCGCTTTCTGGTTTTTGTCAGGCCATGATAAAATCTAAGAAAATCAAGAACGAACAACACGATTTGGGATAGGAACCGCCGTTGTCGTATCCCTAGAAAATGGTGGTAAACACGGACTCACCTGCCAAACTGGTTTGGATTGAGATTTTTATCGAGTATCAGGGAACCATGTGATTATAAATTAGACTTGATCAAAACGGGTCAAAACTTGAAATTCAGCCTGTTTGACCGACCCATGCCAAATTCTAATTATTCTTTACTTTAAAACTTTCTATTTGAAAATAAAAAATAGTGAAAGAAAAGAGATGACTGCAATTCGCCATTTGCACATCACTTATTCGGGAATAAAACCATAGAAATTCAAAAGGAACTGAAAATGTTTAGGATCGTTTTAATGTTTAAAATAACCAAATAGATATTTCTGTTTAGTTTTTTACTAAAAAATACCAAACGATTCCCTGTAAAGTACACTATAATTTGAACATTATGATATCAAATAATTATATAATATATATTTAAAATAATAAAAATTGGACTAATTGGGTTGGTCGAGGTTGAACCATTGAATAACTTTAAAATACATTATATTTTAGCCACTAAGATATAAAATAATAGCATAATATATATTATGCCAGAGAAAATAACTTGTTTTAGAATGACAAACCAATGATGTTCATTTGTTTTACTTGATGGCCAAATCCCGTGTAGGTCAGGCCCATTCAACTCTTTTATTTTATGGTTAGCGGTTAGCCCATTAGATACCATGCATTAGTTTATTGTTAAATTTTTTATTTTTAGCAATAAAAATGAGTATTATTTTTTCCTTTTCATATATATTTTATCACCACGGAGAAATAAAAGAGGTTAAAAAAAAAATTGACACTCCTGGACCCGTTCAAATCCGCATGTGTACGGTAAGTTGACCCGTTCCACAGAGGAAAAAGAAAAAAATTGACACTCCCTATTCTACCCTTCCTACAAACGCTTTTAGAATGGCAAACCAATGATGTTCATTTGTTTTACTTGATGGCCAAATCCCGTGTAAGTCAGGCCCATTCAACTCTTTTATTTTATGGTTAGCGGTTAGCCCATTAGATACCATGCATTAGTTTATTGTTAAATTTTTTATTTTTAGCAATAAAAAGGGGTATTATTTTTGCCTTTTCATATATATTTTATCACCACGGAGAAATAAAAGAGCTTAAAGAAAAAAATTGACACTCCTAGACCCGTTTAAATCTGCATGTGTACGGTAAGTTGGCCAGTTCCACTGAGAAAAGAGAAAAAAATTGACACTCCCTATTCTACCCTTCCTACAAACGCTCCTGGACCAGGGAATTTGAAATGGGGGAAGAGTTTTTTCCTCATTGCTATTATATGAATTTAATTTAAAAAGATACAACAAATGTAGTTAGTGTGATTGATTATGATCCTTGTTTTTCTTTAAAATGGTCATGATTACATGTCTTTTTAATGAATAAAAAAAAGTAATTGTGATGACCAAAATGTCCTTCCTACTTTTACTCTCGTTACAGAAAATTTGAAATGGGCTCCCGTTTTTTCCTTCGGTGTATTATAATATGTGTAGAGATAGATAGATGTGGTTTAGGATACAAAACCAAAACCAGAACCCTCACCAATTAGGTTTGACTAATCTAATAGATTTAGCAGTATTATATGCCACAAAACGGTGGGTGACTATTTGGAACTACAAAACCGGATATACCCTACGTGTCATCTGTTTTATTATAGTCATCTGAGTGTCAACAACATAACCATCCATGGAGGTTGTTATATACAGTTAAAGTAAACACTTATTAAAGCGAGAAATGCAGGAGTATAAGAAGCAATAGTTTGATTTGGTGATATTATCATTAGTTTTCGATCAGAAAGTTGCAGATTTGAATTTATTGAGTAGTATCTAACATAAAAACAAACATATGTCACTTTTATGAAGAAAAAAAAAATTGTTCCTACCATTCATTTTTCAATGATAGTTGAAAGCACTATGAAGCTTTTAGCCGAGGAGATTGTTCATTTAAGAAAAGCTGAGGGTTTGTTTGCTTCATGAATTTGGTGAGAATTTTTTGTTTAATATTCAACTCTAGGGATTTACCTCAAACTGCATTGTTTATTTGTTACTTTTAGAATGACCAAATTTATGAGCCTCATGGACTTTGATGATCTAAATGCGTGAGCTTCATGATTCATGAACTTCCAAGTTCCAATTCTAGAGGTGGGATTTAATGAGGGCTAAAAATACATGATGACTATTTATCCTTATATCTACATCTACTTTATACATTCCCTCATGTTTCATTCTCGCTCCTTCATCATCGTGTCCGGCTTGCCTTTTCATTTTTTTCCATGAAAAATCTTAGGAGAGCAATCCATGAGTGAGTGAGTGAGTGAGAGAGGGAGAGAGAGAGAGAGAGAGATAACGAGTGTGAACTGTGAAGATGTAGGCGATTGCGAGAAGCTACTTGAGTAAGAAGATTTATATCGCGATCCTTGTTATCAAGCGGAGAAAATCATACAGGACGTCACCCAAGCCAGCAAAATCGATCTTCTCAAGGACGAGAAGGCTAATCTCCAAGATGAACTGGCCGCCTTGTCTCATCGCTACAAAGATTTCAAGAAGGCACTCAAGGTGTCCAAGAAGGAAACCACCACCTTGAAGAAGGCTCTGTAGGATTACGAGAGTTCTGAGGATGGACAATCCTTGTTCACGAAGGCGTGCTTGACGAGCCTAAGCATCTTAAAGAAGAAGCTTGATCGAGATCATCCAGACCTAACTTGGGACCTTGACCTTGGGGCATGGCGAACTTCGTGATCGGGGACGTGCTTGGAGGCCGACCAGACAACGAAGTAGAGCAGGCACCCGATACCCAGGAGAAGGAAGCACCTCTCGCGCAATAAAACTTGTTCATCCCCTTATCCTTTTTAGTTCATATTTTCATCTCTTTTTCTGCCTATTGAGTGTCAGGAGAAATCAAATCTCCAACCTCTTACAGCTCTCTCTCTGCTTTTTGCTCCATCCTCCAATTGTCAACATTGGGATGACGACATCCTCATTGAAACTTCCACGTTGATGCTTATTCCACCCCAGCTTCTCATTCTAACTTTCTCATCTTAAGTTAATTAGTGTTGAGTTTACATTTTCACCAAAAAAAAGTGTTGAGTTTACATCTTGCAACTGCAAAATTAGTTTTTTTTTATATGAACTTAACCAAGAATGTTCGAAGTCAGCCGACAAAAATGTAATTAAGAAATCTTTCAGAATGGGAAAACTCATTGTGGTTCACTATAAAACTCATTGTGGTTCACTATAAAAGACAGTAAAATTGTGAACTTTATGGTTAATATTTATTTATTGATGTTTAATTAATTAATTTTATTTTTAACTTATTTTTATTGGTGGATACATCTATCAAAAAATTCTGGGTCCGTCACTAAATTTTAACTTTTCAAATTCAATATAAAAAGTACCGATTTTTTTTTTAATAATTGCATGCCGCATTATTTTGATTTTCCTATTATTAATCTTACTTTTCTCCCACGGCTGCAAATATAATACTTTCTTCTCGTCGTCCATCCCTCCCTCCCTCGTTTAATCCATCCATCCGAATTTGATTTTTCGAAAAATAATTATTACTCACAGCTCACCAGCAAAAGAGGAGAATCCAGAACCAGAACACACAAACCAATCAAACCCATCGCCATCCTCATCCTCTTCCTGCTTTCAGAAAACCGGATTTCTCCAACGCCATCTTCGTCTGCGGTCCAAAACCAGAACCAGAAACAAAAACAAAAACCCACAAATACAATTGCAACTTTTGGCTTCGTCTTTCTGAATTCAATACTATTTTCTCCCCCTCTTCCTCTGCTCCCGTTGTGGTTTTTTGCAGATGGTCAAACAGTTGTCTCCTATAAGTATGGACTGCCTCTCCCTCTCTGTTCCCCTCTCCAATTCCTCCCTCCCATCCGCTCCTTCCTTCGGTGCATGGATTCATTGATTTTCTCTCTTCACCATTCCTCGCCATTAATCCCCTCCTCTTCCATTTCTCTCCGCTCCCCCGCTTGCTCCGCCTCGCTTTCTCCTCCTTCTTCCAACTTCAGTTTCTTCACTCATCGTCTCGGTTTCACTCCCGTTTCCCGGCGTCTCATGGCTGCACCACCACCGGCGTCCGACAGCAAGACCGCCACCACCAACGGCGGCGGTGGTCATGGTTTGTTCAAGCCCAAGATCGTCAACGGCGATTATGGCTACGTTCTTGAAGACGTCCCTCATTTGACCGATTACCTTCCTCACCTTCCAGTACGCTCTTCTTTTCTCTTCCCCTTTTCCCCGCTCTATCTAATGGATCGGAGTAATTGACTCTTTGAATTCGTTTCTCGATCGATCGGTGTCTTGTTTGGTTTCTGAGAAACCGGAGAATTGATTCAATAATCCGCCAAATTTGAAAACCGAACTTGAATTAAATTAGTTTGGTTTCTGTTTCACAGACTCATTCCAATCCTTTGCAAGACAATCCTGCCTACTCCGTGGTCAAGTGAGTTGGATTTACCCCCCATTTCTTGCCCAACTATTTGAAATTTTTAATGGCTGCCCAGTTTTTCTGTTCCCGCCCTCTGAATTGGGATTGAGCCTTTTCTTTCTGCTTTCCGTTTCCTCCAGGCAGTACTTTGTTGATGTGGATGACACCGTCCCTCAAAGAGTAAGAAAAACCTGGCTGGTTACTTGTGCTTTGATCTGGGCTAGCTAGTGAATGTCCTAATTTGATGATTCTTCTTTCTGTAGATTGTTGTCCATAAGGATAGTCCGAGGGGGACCCATTTCAGGCGTGCTGGACCTCGCCAAAAGGTAACGATTATTGAACTTTCCAGCTCTGGATGTGAGGGTGAAGCAAATGATATTTCTGTGGTTGTTTCTCTTATTAATATGATGTGGGGGGTGGTTGTCTCTCACAGGTCTACTTCGATTCGGACGAAGTCAATGCTTGTATAGTGACATGTGGTGGTCTCTGCCCAGGACTCAATACCGTAATCAGAGAAATTGTATCTACCTTGTATTCCATGTATGGTGTGAAGAAAGTGCTTGGGATCGATGTAAGCAGGCATTCAATTGTGTTTTGATCCATAGGCTAGCATTGGAATGCGTTGCTGCGTACTAATGATGTTATTTTTTAAAATGGGGACATGTGTGCAGGGGGGATACAGGGGATTCTATGCTCGAAACACGATTAATCTGACGCCTAAGGTTGTGAATGATATTCATAAGCGTGGTGGAACCATCCTCGGGACTTCACGAGGGGGTCATGATACGAAAAAGATAGTTGACAGCATTGAGGACCGGGGTATTAATCAGGTTTGTGAAAAATTATTCGTGGACCAGATGGAACAGATGGGTATTAATCAGGTTTGTTCGTTAGATTCTTTATGAGTTCAGGAATCGACGGATGTTAATCTGTACATGCTTCGTTTGATAATGTAGGTGTACATAATTGGAGGTGACGGTACACAGAAAGGGGCTTCGGTTATATATGAGGTCATATATCTTTGGGAACAAGGATTGCCATTCTCTAGTATATTGCTGTCTTCTTAAGGGGCTTATTCCAGAGAGTGGAATTGTAAATTTGAAGCTTTAACATGCAGGAAGTTAGAAGGCGGGGGCTCAAAGTTGCAGTTGCTGGCATTCCTAAAACAATTGATAATGACATTCCGGTATTGTACTTGGCTGTGCCTTACTGTAATCAAATGATGCAAAATACTTTTTGGATATTTGGATTACATGGTCATTTTCTGAACACAAGCTGTTTGGAACTTGGTTTATTTTATACCAGGTGATTGACAAATCATTTGGCTTTGACACTGCTGTTGAGGAGGCTCAACGTGCTATTAATGCTGCACATGTTGAAGCGGAAAGTGCCGAGAATGGCATTGGTCTTGTGAAGTTAATGGGTCGTTATAGTGGTGAGTCCCCTTGTAGTACCTGAAGCTAGCCGCCCCTTATTGTTTACTGAGGTTTTCATGGTTGATTGTTCCTTTTTCTGTACTTCTTTTTGTGGCTTGTATCCTCATTCAATTTTGTTTGGGATGCAGGGTTTATTGCCATGTATGCTACTCTTGCAAGCAGAGATGTAGATTGCTGCCTCATTCCAGAATCACCCTTCTACCTAAAAGGGGAAGGTGGACTTTTCGAGTTCGTTGAGAAACGACTCAAGGAAAGTGGCCACATGGTTATTGTGGTAGCTGAAGGTGCTGGGCAAGAGCTCCTTTCTGAGAGCAAATCAATGACAGATGCTTCCGGAAATAAGCTTCTTCAAGACGTTGGGCTGTGGTTATCACAGAATATCAAGGTTTGCCCTCTTCCCACCCTCTTTCTTTCATTCTCTTCAAATTCCAAGACCGTGTTTGCTGGTAAGTGTATGCCTGTAGGGTGAAGCTTTGTGGTCAAGATTGACAGTTCTCTTTCATTTTTGGCAGGATCATATGAAAGCACAGAAGATGTCCATAAATCTCAAATATATAGGTTTGACTTCATGCAAACTAGTGTTTTTAGGTACCTTGCGTCGGATTTTGACAACGAATAACTTAAATTCTTCAATGTGTTTTGTTTCCAACAGATCCCACTTACATGATTCGCGCTATTCCAAGCAATGCATCTGACAATGTTTACTGTACGCTTCTGGCTCAAAGTTGTGTCCATGGAGCAATGGCTGGTTACACTGGCTTCACATCTGGTCTCGTAAATGGCCGACAAACATACATACCCTTCTACGTAAGTGGATGCCAAATTGCCAACATAGTCAAGATTAGTACCGAAGGTTCCCCATATATTTGCGATAGTCCATGTCAAATTGCATCACATGCTGATATGCACAGAAAGATTAAACGCATCAAGTTAACTGCAAACCTTGCAATCCAGCTAATGCATTCTTATTACGTATTATCTTATGATTCTCATGCGCACTACATGGCTAGAAAAAGGTCACACTAAACAAAGCTGCCATTATTCTTCTCTGTCCAGAGGATCATTGAGAAACAGAACAAGGTGATCATAACCGACAGAATGTGGGCTAGGCTCCTGTCATCAACAAATCAGCCAAGCTTTATGTGTCCTAAACTTGTGGCAGAGAAGAAGAAGGAAATGCAGACGAAGATGGAGGCACAACCTTCAGGACAGTTGATGGACGACGGGAACACTGGCGCTGATAAGAAGGCGGCAAACAAAGAGGTCAGGGCGTGACCGACATTCCCCCCCCCCAAAAAAATAACCCACACTGCTAAATTATAGAATTTTAACCTTGCTTAGGTTGCAGTTGTTGTTTTTCTTCCCACTCTCCTGCTTCCACTGTTTGGTTCAGTAGTTTTCACTAGTGTTCTTCAGTGATCCTCGGAGGCCTACTTTCCTCATCAAAGTGGATCTCTGGAGGACCTTGACAACATGTTGAAATGATGAATGGGGGGTGATTAGCTCATGATTTTTTTGTGAAGTGTAATGTATATGGCAACGAGACTGGATTGGATGCATATAGTTAAGCTGTTAATGCAATAATAATGATGCATGAACTTTGATCGCTGTTGGTGTGTTTATGTTATTGAGATTCTGGTGGTACTGGTAGGCATTAGGGGGAAAAGAGCATCTGGAATTTGCAGTGATTGGGGACTGGAGCAGGCTGTTGAAAACTAACTGTCACGATTGTTTCTCAGGGGATAGGAAAATTGAAGCATTTGACAATGCAAGAAAAACAAAAGTGCACACACGGCACATGGTTTACGTGGTTCATTATCACAATGTGTGTTAGCTAGTCCACGAGTAGTAGAGAGAGTCAGTTTCACTATACTTCGAGGAGACACAGATTACAGAGGAGTATGACTAGTCCACGGGTAGTAGAGAGAGTCAGTTTTACTATACTTCGAGGAGATACAGATTACAGAGGACTATGAGAAATATTTATAGTACTTCTTCATGGTTTAACCCTAATCCAATCTGGTAAAGGAAAAACAGTTACAACAAGGCTCAGAATACGAACCCAAACAACATTGACCCATACACCGTGGTTGATAATCCGATTCAAGTCACATCAACACTAACAAAATAATTTGGGTTTACGGTGAGAAAATTATGTCACCATTACCAATAATATTGGGGTTTGGATTTTATCCTACTAGATTATATTGGACTCGGATGAATATCTACGAGTAGTTCGGATAATCGGTTCGGTTATAACTGGAACCGTTTAGTCGGTTCTCGGTTAACCATAAGCACTTTGTGCTTATCGTTGATCGTGCCATTTAAATTAGTCGGTAAATTGTAACCGTATAGTTGGTTCTCGGTTATTTCGTCGGTTAACTGGATAACCGTTAACCAAGTGATTCGGTAATGCCATACCAAAATAGTGGGAAAAAATTATAATTTTTCATACATACGCATGTGTTATTTTCTTAAATTGCTATCATTAATAAAAAATAATTTTCATAGATATATATCAATACATAATCAACTCAATCCAACACAGGTACACAATAATACCATTTTATCGCCAGTCAAACTTTATTAAAGAAGCATACAACGATAAGAGACCCAACAACAATTACTCAACTAGAAAATCGAATTTGTTTCTTCCTTCCGGTTCGGTTATCGGTTACACCGTTAACGGCATAACTGTTTACCAGCCCTATCTACGAGCATGGTTGTTTTTGTCATTCCTAACTCCGTTCTAACCATTTTATTCGTGACCAGTCACCTTGTCTTATCTTATCTTATCTTATCTTACTATATATTATGGTTGTTCAAAAACAACTTCTTGCCACATAAGCACTTGGAGAATTCACAAGTTGCCAAGGTGGACAATTTTTGTACAAGCAAAAAAGTTAGTTAATGAGCTATTTATGGAGTTATCTCTCTCCTTTTAATGATGTTTTTTTATTCAATAATTCTTTTTAATTTTTATATTATATATATATCTATGTTTGTAGAAAAAGATTAATGTTTGTAGAGTGATATATCATTTTTTTTAAACAAAAAATATCTTATTAAACTTAATCAAGTAAATTTTCTACTGGTTTTTTACTGAAACTAAATAATAAGTTATATGTTATTGAAAATTTTAAACAAACACACACATAAACAATAATATTTCCATCGATTAAACAAAATATAACGATGGAAATAGGGAAAATAATTGTTAGAAAATCAATCTACTTTCAAAAATGAACTATGTTATTTTATATTTTTGGCTATTAAACACTCTCTTATTTAGAGATGACAACCAAACCCATGGTCGCAGATACCTAACCGTCTCCGACCCAGTCAATACGGGGAATCTCCGCATTGATTGGGTATGGTGAAAACCCGCAAAATTTTTGATGGAGATGGGGGGATATGCTTATGAAATCCTCATCCCCATACCCAAACCCGCCCCACCGAGGATAGTATGTTATATTCAAAAAATATAACATCCACTTATGTAATTGGTGGCAACCAAACCGTAATTTCATCCACTTATGTATGAGTTCCATAATTTTGGGCAGGTAGTACCCATATTTTTTTACATATTTTTTATGGTGAGTAGTTGATGGGCAGGTATTACCCAAGGCCATGGGTATCCGAAAACCGCGGGTATGGAGATGAGTTTATAAAACCTTCCGCCGTATGGGTATGGGGCGGGTATGAGTTTAGGTATTTGAAAATGAGGATGGTAATGGTTTAGGCAAACCCTCCCCATTGCCATCCCTACTCTTATTTCTAATTAATATATCTCTAAAATAAAATAAGTATTATATAGTAAAAGGTCTGGATAAAAACTTGATGATGTACAAGTATTATATGGCACGTGAATGTTAGAGAAATCTTTGTTGACGATGTATGATAAACATTATGTTTCATCAACCACTGACCTAGCATTAATCAAACATGGGTTGACAACTTTCATTTAGAAGTTGAATGTCTTCTACATTAAAAGTCTTTATAGTTAGAAGACTCTAAACCGAGCTATTAGGTTAAAAATGAAGAATCTTTATAAGCATGAGATTAACTAAGGAAATTCTAATAAGTAATTTGGTTGCATGGTTGTGAGTATGTGACTCCATAACAAATTTTGGCAATAAAAAAAAAGTTTATCATATCAAATTGTCAAAACAAAAATGTTAGTTTGTAACAGTAAGCAATATGTATTTAGATCGAGTTATCCTATCCACAAAATTTTGTTGCCTATTCCATTGAACGAGGTGTGTTCAAAGGTCTTAATTAGGGTTAAAAAACAAAGTAAACTCTTTATATACGTTTAGATATTAACAATAGATGTGTCTATAATACATCCAAGAATTCATCTGTGTGAAATGTCACAATGTTTGTATGAGTTTTTTTTTAAATCAACTTTGTCAAAAAAAAAAAAATTCTTTAAATGATACGACGTTTTTAATGCACCTGTATCTATGTGCATTGTAGTTGTTGACATGATTTATCAATTATTAAGATATATAATGCAAATTTTTGTTCCAGAAGTAACACCAAAAATAAGAAAATTTTCGCAAGTGCACATTAAAAAAATTGGAAAGTTATAAACTAAAGGATCATGTTAAGACGAGAACCCTTGAAAGTGTGTGAGAGTGTCTTGGTTTGAGATTCTTACAAGCCAACATGCAGACAACAACCATGGGTTGAAGGTTACTACAAATTTCAAGAATTAGCAATTGGTACAGATTGAGTAAATAAAATTTAATAGCTATACCTTTCAGAATTTTCAATATTTTAACCAAATCTTTTGTATTAAATCTTTTGTATCGCATCCAAATATTAACAATTTTTCTGTTATTTTTAATAATTTTTTAAATCTTTTCTTAATTAAAATACAATTTTTTTGAAAGGTATAACTATTAAATTTTGCTAACAAAAATGCTAACGGGGAGTTAACGTTTGGCTAATACTTTGTATTTTGAAATGTATGGCTGATAATTTTAAAGTTTGAAAGATTTGGTTAATAAATTGTATTTACTCTATTGTATAAGATACTAAATTTGAGTGTCTTGATAGACAAATTTTGACATAAGATCCTCAACAGAGACTTAATGAACATTGACATAAAAATGAGTCAAGATTATATAAGTGGATCATCGTAAGGAGTATGGCGTGTGTCAAGTTTCACTTGTGATAAACACATTTTATCTAATAATCAAGTATTTCTATCCAATAATCTAGACTCTTAATAATTGTTTGAGAGTTTGTCCTAACTCGAGAATCACGAATTGTTATATGTTTTATAATATTAGAAATTTAAGTGGCTTGGTTGACAAACTTTTGTATATATTCTAAATGTGACGTGATAAACTTTAGTGTGAGCATAAAAAAGTTAGAAGATTAAAAAAAATTTAAACATATAAATTAATTTCTATAAATGATAAAATAAAATTTTCTGGCCAACGGGCCGGGTAAAAAACTAGTTGAATCAGTGCCGGTTTCACATAGTAGCGGAGCTAATCCTATTAAGGTTGCCATGGGACACACTTAAAAGAATTTTAGTTGGATACACTAGTTAAGGGCTCAAGATAGGGTGCATAACCATGGGTTATGCACCCATCAATAACTAAATCTGGAACCTTCATTTAGAAAATCCAGATTTAAGGATAGAGAATTAAAAGTCATTATTATTTTTTTTACTTTTTTTAATCGGCTCATATCTTCTTCGTTTTATCTCGGATTTTTTTTTTTTTTGCACAGATGGAACGAGTTCGTTGGGCTCTACAAAATGAGATCCATTTTCAATATTTTTTTAGAAAAAAAAATTCTTGCCTCTCGGTACCAACTGCATACCATATGGTATCTTCTTCGTTTTTAATTTGTTTTTGAAAAAGTTTGCACAGAAGGAACGAGTTCATCATGATCTATTGGATCTACAAATTTCTGGATGAACAAATTACAGGACCAAAAAATACCACACAATACCACCCTGGTACGGGGTGGTATCTTGTGGTACACAATGTTAAAAGTCGTAAATGACAGTTAATATACTTCTACTATCATGTATTCAATCATCCTATAGTTTTGGTTTGTTAATACCACCATGGTACGCTTTTCAAACCATATTGCTCTTATTTCAATACCAGTCAATACTATATGGTATAAACTGGTAAAAAATGGCTCAATTTTTTTTGTTCGAAAAATATATCAAAGTGGATATCATTTTGAAGAGCACAATTAATCTAATCTAATTGTGCAAAAAAATTAAATTTCGCCTTAAAACGAGAGAGAAATCGTCCGTCAAATATTAAGGAGGGGAAAATTAAAGGCTTTCCAAGAGAGAGAAGGACGCTGATGTCATGTTGATGTGGACGAGTTACTCATGGTTACTCACCCTAAAGTTACTGACCTGATCTAGACCCTAGTTAATAATATAGACAAATAATATTTTGTTTTTATCGTTATAGCCGGATATGAAAACATCCACGGTCGATTATAAAAAGGAAACTTGTATTACATGAAAATATGCCACAATCTTTTGAACAAAAGGAAACTCGTATTAATTGGTTATTTCTTCTTTTATGAATGAATTCGTTAAATATTAATTTTAAAAATATTTATATTACATAGAATGACACTTGTTATGGGATCCCATCACACAACAACTCAACAAGTAATGTGTGGCAACCCAAATCTCCTTGTCTAA